TCAAGTAAGACGTGATATCTGAATTTATACGCATATTACGCATACCGGGGTATTAAGTATTCGTGAACGGCAGTTCTCGGCACTCCCACCAAACAGAAGTGTGAGTGAACAAGAATGAGAAATGAACAAAGTAGGTTGTGAACTACGGGGTAGAAATACAACAACAGGTTATATACTTACCTTAACGTGTTCCGCATACACGAGAGTCATACGAGTACAGGAGCTCAGGTTGTACACGGCTCGCCGGGCTAGGTTGCATAGGCATTGATGTCTCTCCTCGTTAGCCTTGAAGAGAGAGAGAGCTAAAGAAAGCTGAGCACCCGTAGCTGATCCTGGACTCTACCATGGACGCATAGGCCATTCGCTTCGACTGCAGAGAGAGGCACTTCTGATTTCTCCACAGCGCTCCTATAACCTGTCGAGACGTTTTACAGATATGCGTAACGTGGCTATTCCAAGTCAGGCGATCGTCTACAATCAAGCCTAGGTATTTGGTCTGTGACACAATAGGGAGCACAGTGCCATCGCATATCACAGGCGGCAAGGGATCAAGGGAGCTCCGAGGAGCAATGTGTGGAATATTGCATGCTTGTCAGATATTGCATGCTTGTTAGAGATTGCATGCTTGTTAGAGATTGCATGAATAAGAGTATTGTCACAAACTAATGGTTCGCACCAAGCATACATACCGTATTTCCACAAATAGTAGGCCGGTCTACTATTTTTTCAACCTCGTCCTAACCCGGCCTTATAATCGAGGACGGTCTTGTATTCGAGGACGGTCTTTTATTCTTTCAACCCAGTTTGACCCCCCGGTCTTCTATTTCTCGCCACACAGTTTTACCCCCGTTCTTCCATTTTCTTCTACACAGTTTAAGCACGGTCTTCTATTTTTTCCCACAGTTTGAGCACGGTCTTCTATTTTTGACACAAGAACAAAGACTCATTTAGTAGGCCCAGTCTTCTAATCGGAGAAGGTCTTTTATTTTTTCAATCGCCCCTGCCCCGGCCTTGTATACGAGGAAGGCGTTGTATACGAGGACGGCCTTTTATTTGCGGAAATACGGTACAAGCATACAAGCAATTGATTATACAGTCTTCTTTCTTCTTTCTTCTTTCTATCGTGTCTTCTAAGGTATTTTACTTACCTTTTGCGCCATGGGACGCCTACGACGTTCCCATGGTCTTCACGTACGACATACGGTTTTCTAGCGCTTTTTCCTGGAGCTTGTCTCCTCGTGTCGTTTCTGTTTCATTGGTTTTACGTTGTCTAAGGATAAGCAACAGTTTGAGTTTGAGTCTAAGAGAACCCAAGATGCGCTCGCGTTGAGCCAAAGCAGCCTTACAAGATAACCTTTTGTAAATTGGTCCTTCGAGCCGGATCGCCGGATTCGAACCAGAGAAGACTAGAGATGGCAGATAGTATTGGTCCGCAGCAGAAGATCACCAAGGCTAAGGCGAAGACGGAATATACTAATGTCCGCCGTGGGTTGCTGGTGTCCATCGTATCGGAAACCGTGAGTGTCGAGGAGATTAAATATGGGCTACTAATGCTCGAGAACAGGATGAACTCCGTGATGGAGGTTGTTTCAGAGCTGGCAGATATATGTTGCAAGAATCCTACTTATTTAGAGAGTTTGGCAAAGGAGACTGCAGAATTAGAGGTGTCGTACACTGAGACGGTGACGCAGGCCAGCACTACTTTAGCAAATATCAGCATGAGTAGATACAACAGTGCACACACAAGCGAAATCACGGGGTTGCGATACACCCGTCACCCAGAGAGAGAGTTCAGGCATATTTGGAATCCATTTCAGCTACAGACAAAATACGGACTGCACAGGAGCAGCTCCAGTGGAGTAGCAGTAGCATGCAAGAATTAGATACATCCAGCACGAGTCGTAGTGTACAGGCCAGTGGGCAGAGTGAACCCAGTACTAGTGGTAGTACCGTACACATTCCCGCATCGGATGCTAACACCGCAGCTACGGAGCTTGTGTTTGTAGGCCAGGATAGTGCATGCACGAATGTAGTCATGTCCATGCCTGATGTATCTGGTATCCCGTCAGCAGCTACAGGGGCCACAGGGCCAGCAGCGCGCGACCTCGACCGGAACAACGTCCCAGCAGAGCAGCGCAAGCAGCAACAACCAGGTGCCGGTGTTGGCGTGAGTACAGATTTGCGTCTGGCTGTGAGCAGTAGTGACACCGGTACCAACCCTCGACAGTCGTCAGTCTCGTCACCGTACGACGTCGGACGTCAACAGATCACGCAGAACACGACGAGCACGAGTACACCAGTCTCGAGTGCTGGTTACACCAACACAACACGAACAAACGACGATCGCACATTCACGATCACAGCTGCAACACCAACGCTGCAATACGGAACAACAACTACACCAACACAACAACACAGCCTCAGTTCAGCCCGTACACTAACTGCGAGTGGTACGTCGTTGAGAGTCAACACAACGAAATTTGCTCAGGGTTTCGGCACCGCGACTGACGCAGCGTCCGCTTATGGTGGTCCAGCAGCATCAGCATCAGCCTCTTTTGGAGCACATTCCCACCTGGCCCCGGCCTCTGCGAGTACGATCCCTACGGTAGCCGCTTGCCGCTCGACGTACTCGGAGTGCCACAATTACAAGCGGCCCAGAGTCAAACCCCGCAATGGACGCAGCCAGATACGGCAGCTAGCCAGTGGCCGCCGCCGTGTAGTACAACGCCTAATTTAGCTGGTTCGACACAGTGGTCACCAGTTCCACCTGCAGCAGTGTCGTCCAACAACGCCGCTTTTGGGGTACAGAGACTACAGACGCAGTACAATGTCAGTGGTTTGTACCCATCACCAGCTCTACCTCCACCAGTCAACGCCGTTTTTGGTGGATCGCCTGCACAGAATGGAAGTGCACTGTACCCAGGCCAACAATCAGCAGCCAATTATGGCCCTTATGGCGGAACCCCAAATGGGTATGGATTGACTGGACCAGTACCAGGATTCACACCTGGTCCTTCGCATGCACCGCAAGGCAATCCACCATCAGACGTTTACCGTCATTTAAATGGGAAGTTAAGGCAAAAATTAAAATTTCACCAGTTGTAGTCTTCGGGGTGCTGAGTCGAATGGTCTTGGTCCGAGAAAGCTGAGACGCTCCCTTCCTACTTGAATCCCAATCGAACTCGCGCACTTCCACCAAAACTGGGTGACTGCGCCCTACGAGATGGGGATTTGTATGCAAAATGTCACTAAAAGCGCCGTTTCGTTCTTATAAAAGCACGGATGACCGCGATTGGCCCATATGTTGTAGTCTTTTGGACGCTGAGTCGACTGGTTTTGGTCCGAAAAGGCTGCGATGCAGCGTTCGCCCCTAATTCCCAATCGAACATGGTTGAACAAGCGGTCACGTGCTCCTGCGTACACCAGTCACCTGGTCACCGTGCCTGCAGGGTACAACTTACAGCCTGTTTTGACCTTTTTTGGGTGCAGTCCTGTCACTCGAGTTGAACCTTGGTGTGAAAGTTGTCGCCTGCTGGCGTGGTGACCAGGTGATTTGGGCACCCAGGAGCACGTGACCGCTTCTTCAACCATGTTCGATTGGGAATAAAGGAGGAACGCTGCATCGCAGCCTTTTCGGACCAAAACCAGTCGACTCAGCGTCCAAAAGACTACAACATATGGGCCAATCGCGGTCATCCGTGCTTTTATAAGAACGAAATGGCGCTTTTAGTGACATTTTGCATACAAATCCCCATCTCGTAGGGCGCAGTCACCCAGTTTCGGTGGAAGTGCGCGGGTTCGATTGGGATTCAAGTAGGAAGGGAGCGTCTCAGCTTTCTCGGACCAAGACCATTCGACTCAGCACCCCGAAGACTACAACTGGTGAAATTTTAATTTTTGCCTTAACTTCCCCTTTAAGAAAGATCAAGATACCAACCTTTGACGGCGACAAAAAGCTATACGACACATGGCGTACGTCTTTCAACGTCTGCGTCGATCAACAGCCTCTGTCACCGGAGCTGAAGCTGTTGCAGCTCAGGCAATATCTGTCCGGTCCACCGTTGAAGACTGTTGAGACGTATGGTTACTCGGCAGCGGCCTACGCAGCAGCACTCCAGCGACTTGACCAAAAGTACGGAGGTGAGAAGCGCAAAACAGCCGTCCACATGTCCGCGCTCCAGGACATGCCAGCAATCCGTGAGCGTGGCACAGCCAAACAGCTTGAGCGTTTCGCAGATCTTGTGCAAGTCGCCAAGATTAACTTGATTGATGCTGGCCGTCAGAATGAGCTGTCGTACGGTACGTTCTGCACTCAGCTGC